CTCGCGCTTGGCCAAAGGCCGAGCCTTGCGTGGGTGTTTGTGGGCATGTTTCTGTTGAATTTCATTGAATTTCCTGTTAAAATGCCAGCCAACTTGCTTGCCCATGGAGAGTCAATGCTCTAATAGATAGGCTGTTGTTTTGCCTGTGCTGTTGTCCAAGTGGAACCTCGTGATTGAGCCTGGATGGGTGACCCTCTTCCTTGTGCTGCCCGTGGCCCATGCTCAAGGGAGCAGCAATCTTGGGGCAGAAGCAGAGGGACAGAGCACAACATGTGTTTTTTGGAAACAGGGTGTATGGGGTTTGAACCAGTGTTGTTTTTTAGGAGAGGTGAGTGGGTTCATCTGGGAGGATACACTGCTCTCCTGTTGTCTTTTGATGTAAATCGTGTTTGTTTATGTTTTCCCACCATGAAGTCTTTCCCACGGGTCTTGATTTTTATCCCAGTACAGCGGGCTGCAGTGCTTTGGGCTGGGGGCTGCTGCTGGGTGCGCTTGGGGTGCCGCAGGGGCCGTGGGAGGAGGCAGCTCACCCCAACCTGCCCTCACTGCTGTTTGCAAGAGGTCGGAGGGACCCAAGGAGCATCGCAGAGCGCCCGCCTGCCTGCCCTGGGTGAGGAGCTGCTGCAGGCGTGCCGGAGAACAGGATGGCTTTGGCAGCACCGCACGTCTTTTCCTGCAGCAATGGGTTGATTTGTTGCTGGACTGGCAGCATTTCTTTGTACTTGGATATTGGCTTTCCCTGGGGAGGAATTTGTGGTTTCTAAGACTCTAATTGTTTTAGTGTAATAGTTTTTCCTCTGCTTTTATAATGACTTTGGTGGGTGCCATCTGCTGTTGTGACAGCCTGGGCAGTCTGAGGCTGAGCCCTGGATGATGGGAGTTGTGTGCTCTAACCAAGCTCCTCAGAAAAACTAAGACTTTAAAATCTGATTTTCAGGGCATAAAGCTTTACCTCCAGCCCAGTTGGGATACTGGGCACTAGGGTTGGGGCAACGGGTGAAAAATATTTGTGATGGCTCCCTCCTTGCACCGCAGGTCTGTTTGCAGGGGCACGCCTGGCCACCCTGGGCAGCCAGCACAGTTTGGGGTGGATGGAGGAATATGTTTCCTCCATGGCAGGCAGGGAACAGGCCACATCCTATTGTGAGCAGCTGCTTTGGTTGCCAACAGCTTGATCTACCTCTTTTGGCTTCACAGAGACATTGCTGTGGTTTGTGTCGTGGCCGGGGATGGCCTGGCTGCGTTGTGACGGAGGGCTGCTCTGTGCTGAGACAGGGAAACACACAGCTGGGGCAGGGAGAGCCCTAGGGACTGCACTTCCAACAGCTCCGGAGGAGAAATGCCTGTGTGTGGGTGCTGCAAAGCCCACCTGCGTGCCAGCTCTCTGCAGCCTTGCAGGCACTCATCCCTCACCTCCCGGAGATCCCTGCATCCTTGGCCGTGTGTCCCAGGACTCATCACAGCCTCACGGGATACAGATCACAGCACCAGCCCTCACAACATGTGTTGTCCAATATCACTAAATCCACAAGAGTAGAAGGGCTGTAGTGTGTTATTTTAAGGAGCCTTTTCATATCTGTGGTGGGCAGTGCTGTGCGGGTTTTGAAACCTCTCGTGAGGATGTGGGATCCTTTTCAGTCCTTATCATTTAATTGTCATCGAATGCCACGAGGGTCGCTACCAGGACTTTGTCTTGCTGGTTGTCAGAGATGTCAAAGTTAGGAAAGAAATGTTATCAAAACCCCAGCTATTAAAAAGAACAACTTTAGAAACAGAGTCCCGGTTCCAGGAGTGTATTGCAAAATAAAAAAGGACTAAAAATACTGTGTAATTAGAAGGCCTGAGTTCTGTGTACCCAAAGACACTCTGTAGTGCCATAGCCAGGTGAAAGGCTCTTAGAGGGAATCTAATTTACTGTTCCAGCTGCTGGCAGGGCAAGGTGAGAAGCTCAGCTTCGTGGCATTGCTCTAACCAGCTGATGCCGCTGAGTTTTCTGGGATTGCTGCCGTGATGAGCGGCAAGACGAGTAAATGGGACAGGTCGGCAGAGAGCCATACACCTGGATTGTAGGGTCCTGACTGGTCTTGTTGGGTGCCCGAGCTTTGGGGATGCCTGGCCCAGACTTGCAAATTGGGAGAGCAGCTCGTGAATGTCCTGTTAACTCACAGTCATTTGCAAAGCTTGGCAAATTTTCAGAAGCACATAGCCTTATCCTGAAATAAGACCAGTGTTTCAGATGATTAACCAAATTCAATTAAGCATTCAGAGAGTGTGAGACTGAGAGAAAATGGATTCCTTTTCTCCATCAGCCTATTGGGGTTTTGGGACTCCTGTTTTTTAGGTGATCTCTTTCTTTTTTTGAGACTCCCACGCAACTTGAGTCCTGGATGCAGGGTCGAGAGGCTCCACGTGCAGTGACGCTGGCAGCGGGCAGCACTGGGGCTGGCAGCGTTCACCACCCCCTGCCCCAAATCCCTCGTGGCTGGGGGAGCCGGGCACCCAGCATGGGCTCTGTGCCGAGCAGCCTTTGTCTTGCCCACCGATACTTTGCTGGGCTTCTCCCACGACAGCTGCGGTGCTTCTGCTGGTGTTTACATGGCATTGGGGCCATGTGAGGTTTCTTTCTGTGCGAGCAGTGAAGGAAAGCTTCCAGAAAATGATTAAGAGGGAATTGCTTCGGATATCTGAGCTAATCCATGCTGGATTCCTACAGCATGGAAAAGACACCTTTTGAAGTGAAACTGTCTGGGGCAGCAGGTATGTTTTCCCCAGCCAAGTGTAGGAGCTTCTTTGTGGACAGCCAGAAGCACGGCAGGGCGGATGCTCAGCGGAAGGCTGTGCAGAAGCGGCTCTGTCCGGAGGCTGGCAGTGGGACCCAGGCATCGCTTACGATAGTAAAACAGGCCTTAAGTGCACACAGACTCTGTGCTTTCTTCCATCAGAGAGATGCTGGGATGCAGTCCTGGGAAACACAGGGTACCTTTCACAGGTACCCGCCTTGCATTTCTGAGGTGCTGTGGGGGGAAAAGCTTTCATCTCGGTTTTGCTTTCTGAGTGTATTAAAAGCTCACGAGTCATGCACCTGGAATGAAGGAATGGTCCCTGCTCAGTGGGGTTTGTCCTTTGGGTGAGAGAAGCCAGAGGCGGCCTAAGAGATGTGACTGCCCTCACTGCTCCAGCCCAAGGGACCATCCAGGTCTGCTACCTGGCTTTTTGTTTTCTTTTTGCCAGGTACCAGAGTCTGGCAAAACCAGAAAGACCTTTTTTTTTTTTTTTAATGATTTGATTTTTTTTAAAAGGTGCTGGTGTATGAGAAGATAACACCATACAAAGATTTCCTGCAACATTTCAGAAAAATACTAGAACAAGATTAAAATACGGCCATCCCCAAATAGCTCTTGCCAGGGGCCGTTACCCCTCGCTTGACAGCTGCCTCCCCAAAGTCCCAGCACCAGCTCCACTTCAACGCAGGAGATGCTCAGCTGTCATTGAAGCAAAACCCCAGCTCACGTTTACTGCAAAGGGCTTGAAAACATTCCCTAATGCATCCCAGAGACTCAGAAACCAAAGGCACAGGACAGAAACCCTTTGGCTAGGATTGTTTTTGGAAGAGCAGTATTGATTTCTTGGCTTATCTCACGCATCAAAGGCAGCATTGGGCTGTTTGGATGCTTGGTGGTGCAGCGGTTTCCCCCGTGGGGTTATATGGTGCTGTGATTTTGATCCTCATTTTGGATTCATTTTGTCAGGCTGCAGGTTTTGCTGTCTTCAGCGAGAGCCCTTGTACTGGTCTCATGTTTAACTCGGGGAGGATGCTACGGCAATAGCTCATCCTGGAAAAACCATTCAGCTGGGGGGTGAAGGCTGCTGCCAGTGGGGAAGCACCTGATGTTCCTCTTCTGAGGGTGGAGGGCCCAAATGCCACCCTGCGAGGGTGTTATCGCCAGAGGCACGTGCCATCCAGGCATCACGAGGCTGCTGGAAGGTTTCATTAACGCTGTCTGTGACATGGCCAGGCCTTGTGGTCAAGATTCAAAACACAGCAGAGCTGACGTATCTGAATTTGCTTCCCCTTTTATTGTGACCGTTCATATGCAGTCATGGGTTTGCTTTTGGTGTCAAATTTAATTTTCACAACGGCAGTGCGAAGTGCCTGACTCTTGCTTATGAAATGTGAGGCCTAGGGCCGGGCAGCTGAGATGACATTTTCCTACTTCAGAAGTTTGTGGGTTTCTCACTTTTTTTTTTAAAAGTTCTGTTTTCTGGACTTGTAACAAGGACAAATGTACTGCAATCGCCAACTGAATGGTGTTCTCCTAATAACTTTTACTCGTGACTTCAGGGATTTTTGAGTTCATCTTGCTTCCCAGAAATGTGAGGCAGAGCAAAACCAGATCCCAGACTTTTCCAAGCCTTTGGCTGTGGCGGAGGTGTGATTTATGGAAAGGGATTTCCTGCCTTTCCAGAGGGATGCTGCTCTTCCTTCCACAGGGTGAGATTCCTGCTCCGGAGGTCGTGGCAGCCAGGTTGCTCTCATCTCGCCAGCGGCACATTTCCAGACAGAGCACGACTCTCATCAGCTCCTCCAGCAGAACCAGCTTCGAGCTCAGTGGAGCCAGTGCCGGGGGCCGTATTTCTTCCGAGCTGTACGGATGAGCTGCTCATATGTGAAGATGCTGAAGCTTGCAGCTGTTAAAGCTGTGGCCTGTCCAGGAGGATTTCTTGCTCCATTAAGAAATTGGAGACTGTGCTTGGACCAGAGCGGCACAGAGCTTTGTTTCTTCCTGTAGCTTATTACCAGGCACAAATAACTTAACCCCTTGTTTCTCTCTCTGCAAAACATGCACATCAGTGGTTACCTGCGTCACAAGAGTATCACATTTCTGAATTAACGAGCAGTCCACCGGTAACACAGTTTGAAACTATCAGGCTAAATTAAGAACAAGATACTGATTATTATATATATATGTAAATATTATCATCTTCTATTTTTCCTGTAGGAAAAAACCAAAGTGGTTGAACCCTTGGACTATGAGAACGTGATTCTTCAACGCAAAGTTCAGATCTACAGTGATCCCCTCCGGGACCTGCTGATATTTCCGATTGAAGATGTATCTGTGAGTGTGCACTGGCTATTTCTCATGATTGAGACTCATTTATCTCCAGTCCTGCTTCCCTTGGAAAATTTCCACTGTTAACCACATGTTGCTTTTGGCTACATGACTGACACATAAAACCAAAATAACCCACTGGTGATTTGGGCCCATGGCATTAATTAAAGCATGTATCAAGCCCTGAAGACCTAGTTTGCACTGAAAACATGTTCTTCTTTTCCCTGCAGATCTCAGTCATCAGTCGACAGAGAAGGACTGTCCAGTCTACAGTGCCAGAAGATGCTCTAAAGAAAGCTCAGAGCCTCTTTGTCAAAGAGGTAGGGGCAAAAGCCCATGCACCACCCACCTTCCACACTTTCTTCCCTGGGCCAGATGCTCTGCTGTAGCTCCGGGTCTGTGAGGTGGCAGATTGCCTGGCTTTTTTTTTGTGGGAAGCAGTGGCCGGCAGTCTGGGCACACGGATAGTTCTCGCGTGTGCTCTTGTGCAGTGCTTCTTTCCAGTGGGTTTTGTCCGCAGACAAGGTGTGTGGCTTTGCACCGCCAGCCTGAGCTGCAAGGTGGGGGTGTGCAGCAGGGTGGGGGGACCCTACACAGCCCTGAGTACCCTGAGCACCATGGGTTTGCTGCATAAAGTGCCACTTTCTAGGACTCCAGGGGCGGTGGAACTAAATGCCAAGCCATGGTCAGTGTCTAGTTAAAGGCACTGCATTTCCAGGGGCAGAAAATCGGTGCTTTCTGGAAAACAGTCCCCTCCCAAATTACTAGTCCTTTTTTAAAGCTTTGGAGCAATGTAAATACAAAATCAGCAGTTGTGTGGCAGGCCAGATGCTATGGGATTTTTGTCTCTGTGCTGGAAAGGTTCCGTGTGAAGTTCTGTATGGCAACGCAGAACAAGTGAAGCAGCTTGCTCGGAGCCTTTCCGCTTGTGCTTACCTCACCCAGCAGTCTGTAACCTTTCTGGCTTGTGCACGGTTTTGTTCTGTGCAGTGTGGCTTTCAAAGAACTATATTGTTTTCCTTTCAGTGCATTAAAACCTACAGCTCAGACTGGCACGTGGTAAACTACAAGTATGAGGAATACTCAGGAGACTTTCGGATGTTGCCATGGTAAGTGTCGCGCTCCCTTGGAATACTAATGCATGGGCACAGGGCTGGGGTTTGATCAGGGTTAGGAAAAGCAGTCTGCCCTTCTTCCTGATGCCTGTCCCACAAAAAACCTCCCCCCAGAGTTATGTCACTCTGAAGGTTACAGAGCCAGAGGTTGGTGTTATCCCACTGTTGTGTCACTCACTCAGCAGCGTCGGGGGGATGCTGACAATATTGCCAGCATGGGTCGTTACTTCACATCCTGCCATCTGGGATGAGGACGGACCACAGTCAGGGCATGTGGCAGGGTAAATAATGTTGGCAGTGTCTGCTCATCCCGAATCAGGAGCCTTTTGTCCCCCTGGGCTGATGTTCTCCGCGTGCTAGACGCCGTGTTCCCATGCAGAGCAGATCCTCTTTTTGCCCCCTCTCACTGGGATGTTGTTTTACACCTTCAGTGTGGTGGTGTAATACTGCTGTTGATGCTGGCAGTGCTGGAGCATTATGTGCTCTGAAATGCTGGGCTGTGCCAGTGATTCCAGCCCCAAAGCTAAAGGGGATTTTCAGACAGGCGTGTACGTCTTGGATTTCTGCGGGATTGTTGTTTTCTCCGTAGTGGCGCCTGCTCTGCTCTCGCTCCCCATGCCCTGTGCACGTCTGGGCCACTGCTCAGGCTGCTCCTGGGCTGGCAGCTTCTTACATGCTTTTTCTTGTTAATTGACTGAAGTGGGTCTGTTCTGAGATCTCGCAGGGAAATGAAGCAGCAGCAGGCCAACACTGGTGATGAAATCGTATTAAATTTTGGGAATAATCTTGCAGTCTGACCTTGCTTCATTTTTAGCAAGGTGGAAGATAGGCTGGCCTGCTGCATCTCTGTGTTGCAAAAATGCAAGTCAGCAAAAGCTCTGCAGAATCAGACAGCTATCAAGGAGAAAGCTAATTACATACTGCTTATGCTTAATTTCCATGAAATGCACTCAGAAGTTAGCTTTCTCCATCTGTAAGGGGCTGTAGGTCTCTTGAAATCCATGTGCTGCAGGAGGGCAGTTCTGCTGTGCTCTGGAGTCGGCAGTTGGGCTGTTGGTTCTGCATCCAACATCTGCTTGCTGGCCTGGAGGACCCTCATTTCCCAGTCATTAAAAAGGAAAATGTGTTGTGATTTCAGCAAATCCTTTAGGCCAGACAAGATTCCAAGCCATGTGTTTGAAATTGATGAAGACTTTGAAAAGGACGAGGTAAGGAGATTTTTTTTCACATACTTCACTCGAAGATCTGTTAAAAAGCAGATTTCACAAGGCAAAGTCAGAATTCACTTCCCAAGAATGGTTTTCTGGCAAGATGCTTCGTACTGTGAAGATGGAACCAAAACTGGGACGGTGATTTATTTTGAAGTATGACAAGATAATCTCTTGGAGCCAAGGGTCTCCTAAATTATCTGGAAGATTAGCCTTAATATTTCTCAGGGCTTTTTCACTTGAAACACTGCAGCAGCGGAAGAGGGAAAAAAAATGAAGCCAAATGATTACTAAGTAAAATTTTTCATGCCCAGAATTATAAGTGGGAACTTTGGGTTTCAACTACAGTGTGAGATCGGCATCCTCCTCTTAAAATGTTTTGTGCTCTATCACATAACCTGCAGTTCTTAATCAGTCACTTCTACCCAACACATTCACCATGTGTCAGTCCCGTTCTGCAGACACAGATGTCCAGTGGCGTTCGCTCCCTCTGGGAGCTGGCGTGTGTGTGCTCACCTGGTTGCAGGGAAGATTTGCAGCCCTGGAACTATTCTATGGGGGTGAGCTGGGGACTCTGAAAATTGGGGTATCTCAAACCTGGTGATCATTTTGGACGACACAGGTGCCGTGTTTCCTTGTGCGTGTCATGTTTGCTACGAAAGGGAGGGGTAGCATTTTTCTGTCTCACGTGCCACGTGATGCTTCACGCATGTGACATTAAGAAGTTCTCATTTACGGTGGGGTGAGTTTAGCCCAGCTGTTTAAAATCCGCATGGCACCAAGATGCTGCTGCAGAACTTAGAGCAGAAAAGGGAAGTTTGTTTCTTGCAGAGGTGAAGATGTGAAGGGGCTGTTTCATGCACGTTTCTCACAATTGCTGTGCGTGTCCCAGCAAACTTCAGGTCTGGTCTGGGATGACTTTCTCCTAAATGGAAATGAATTTTCAAGTTTGGCCTTATTTTCTGGGGGCTGTATTGTCTGTTTCCATTACATCATTAACTTGAGCTGTTACCTCTGTAATAATATCTGCTTTGGGCTGGAGACAGAGCAGTGCAGTATGTTATCAGCAAGTCTCTGAAAAAAAGCAAAAGGACAAAAATAAACTATCAAAATTTGACAAAGACCCTTTTTCTTCTGGTCAGTGTCCCATGTCCTCAAACAAGTGAAGTTACTGATGTATTCCCGGTGCTTTGGCAGATATTTTGGCACTTATCTCTTTCGACATGAGAATATCTAAGCGATTGTTACGGTTTCGTGATGGTACGTTTACATTAGAATTGTGGAATGGAAATTCAAGTAAAAGAAATCTCTTGATTATAAAGGAGAAATCATGGGTTGTTTTACCCAAGGTTATAAAACATTAGACAATTTACTTTGTCATTGGAAATTTGGCAAGAAAGGAGTGAAAACCTGCCATTTGGGCTGCAGGAGACGCCAGAAACCATTCCCTTCATAGCTCATCGGCAGACCGTCCAGGTCCACCTCCGCTGCTGTGTCACTGGAAGTCCCAGGGTGAGTTTTTTTCACCAGTCTGGGATCTCATTTCCCTCCCTCCCCAGAGGAGGTCACAGTTAGTTACGCATGGTGGGATGTTCTCCCTTCTGGGACGACGGGACAGGAGCAGAGATGGAAATCCCAGCTGGTATGCAAAGAACAGCCTGGTTGGGCCACTTGAAACTTTGTTTTGAGAAATATGAAACCAGTCAGTTCCATTTCAGCTACTGGCGTTTGGTGGTTTCTGCCTAAATTTAAAATGGAGAGTGGATTTATACAAAAGGAAATGACAAAGTGAGTCTGGAGTTCTGCATTTTGCAACTTTCTAAACAGACCATTTTGAAAATTTCTTTCTTCCCCAGCTTTTTGAAATACTGCCTACGAACCAACATGCATTGCAAAATTGCTGTGTAGCTCTGTCAGTGTAGATGTAATCTGTTTAAAGGTGACCCAAACTGGCCTGGTTTGTCTCTCTCTGGGAAAGAGATAACCCTGCCATTTTTTATGATAACACTGTGCATGTTAACGTATTGCTGGAGTTAAAACTGTGTTGCTTTCCAGGGTGGACATCTCCCTTGTCTCCAAGGGGAACATTGCATGGATGCAGTTTACCTGACTTGTTTTGCTGATCTTTGGCTCTCTTTCAGGATTCCTCGTCCCTGTGCTCCCAGAAGGGTGGGGTGATAAAGCAGGGCTGGCTGCACAAAGCGAATGTAAATAGCACCATCACTGTTACCATGAAGGTGAGTTTGATCCAGCGTTACGTTAATCGTGAATAAGGCACGAGGTTAAGCTCAGATCACGTCTCTAAAGTTAGCAGAAGTGCCACGGGTGGGTTTGGGTTTGGATGGGCATCCGTCCCTCTTGTAGAGTATCCTGAAGTAGACTGGAAAACCCAGTCTGGTAACAGATTTTGACCCTTCCCTCCCCAGAATATAAGACCAATGCACTTCAAATCACGACAGGCAAGCTGAACAAAAAGGTGAAGCGTGTTCTGGTAAACCAAGATTGTTTTGTGAATGAGCAGCTGAGGCCAGGAAGGGGAAGGCAGTTTAACTAACTGTAACAGCTGCCCTGCAAAGACTTTGTGGATTGACAGTTTCCTTGCTGGTAGGAAATACGTATGGAGTCTGGCTTTAAATTGAAATGACAAGTCTTTGCTTTAAAAGCAGGGGTGGTATCACTGAGGAGGTGGAGCATTACTGACCTAGAAGTAACAGCTGCATTGTCTCCTGTACGTAATCCGGCGTGACATTGCTCAGATTTTGCAATGCATGTTCCACCACAGGTTTTTGCTGTGGCAATGAGCCCGCCTGTTGTTCCACCACGCAGCTGCCATGCTATAGCATAGAGGGAATATTAGAGAGTTATGCTCAACTGTGCAGCTGAAGAATGGCTGCAGTGAGGCTGCTGTGTAAGGATATTAGTAAATCTCACAAAGCTCACTTGGTCTGCAGCTCATCAGCAAGTTATTCTTTCATAAGAAGTGTTCACAGAGCTGATTTTGAGTTTTAAAATGACTACTCATGAGCTTGAAGGTGATAGAACAAGATTTTCTGATCCTTTGCTCTTCTGAGCAGCAAGGGTGAAGCCATTTCTGCTCCCATAACTTCTGGAGGAGGTATCATACATGCACGAAATCAGTCAGCTGGCTCCATTCTTGACTGAGCCTCTTGTGGTATTGTTGGCCTTGGTGCCCAGCACCTCAGACCCACCTTTCAGAGATGTTATCTGAACTATGCTGGTTTCAGTTCAATTAGTAAGATCCACAGAGTCTCTCGTGTAACTGAGATATCAAAATACTGAAATTCAGTAGCCATTTTCTGAGCTGGTCCTGGTCACTTCTGTGTGTTACAACACACCTCCTAAAGCACACGTGAGAAATATGAGGACTTTGAATGTCTTCAGCCTTATCACCACATCGAGGGGCTGCTGTGCTATTGCAGAAGCAGATGCATCCCTCTTTTGAGTGTTGGTTCTTCCATTGCTGTGATGGGCTGAGCTGTTGGTACCTCACGCTGTTGCTGAGCATGTGCAGTGTATTTTGTGGAGAGCCAGCCCACGAACAAACTGTAATTAGGCTACAGCCAACAGCCTTTATTTCAGAGTAACCTTTCCTTCGCAGAGAACATCCCTGGTTTGGCCAAGCTCCTTGCCATCTGTTTTGCAGCATGCCGGTGTGCTGCAATACAATCATGACATCAGGATTTTCTCTGTCTTTCTGTTTTCTCTTCCCAAATGGACTTCCCAGTTCTCTAGCCATCCCTCTGCAATTGCAGTGCTCACCAACAGCATCTGTACCCTCATCAGAGGGGATGTTCCCTCTGCTCCTGGTTTTATAGTATTCATTTCAAATGATCATAGTCTTCTGCCAAGTGTTTCTGACAGCAATTGCTTACAAGGGGGGGAAGATCATAGGAATAGTGCTGCTTGCTTCTGCATTTCCTTTTGAACAGAATTCAGAAGATGCAAATGGCTTAGCATGAAATCCCATACGCACAAGGGATATCAACCTTGTAATATCTAGAGATGATCTATCATGGATTTCTGCAGCATCCCCTGCCAGAGTTTCTGAGATTGAAAGTGAAGTGCCAAATCAGTGTTTAAGCTGGCTTTAACACTTAGCATACTTCGCTTTCAGTGTGTTTTTATGCTTTGTTGGACTGAAGGTTTAGCTAAATCATATAAAACTTAAATCTCAACAACTCTTGGAGCATCTCTACAGCTAACTAGACATCTAAATGATGCTGGAGGTTAGCTTTCAGAGGGCTTTGGTTACTGCTCAGAGCGCAATGCTCCCTTCCAGTTCTGTGTGAGTAGTTTTATTGAACATGTGCTAGTGTCAGTAATGATGGGAGCAGGGAATTACTAGTAGTCTCCCATATGGGATGAAAAACGTTGTGTTTATTTGTAGATCTTCCAGATATGCAGAATAGTGGAAACACTCTCAGTGCTGCTTGCCCCGACTTCCTTCGTGATTCTCCTAACACAGATATCCACCAACTGTGAAATGCACCCTGCTCCTTGCAGACCTGACAGCATATGGTGCTACCATAATTGCTGCCAAAATGTTCTCCTGAATTACAGTCCAGTGCCTTTTGGCTGACAAACATGAAGGGAGATGTTCTGAGATACTGGAGAGCTGGGTTGGGTTTTTTTTCGGTTGGGTTTTTTTTTGGTGTGTTTTTTTTTGGTGGTTTGGTTTGGTTTGGTTTTTGTTTGGTTTGGTTTGAGGTTTTTTTCCCATAAAAATCAGTAGCTCAAACATAGGAATACTTCTCCCAGACTGACTGCTTTTTGAGTGAGAATTGAACACTAAGTCAAGTTCATGAAAATATGTTTGTAATTAAAAAAGAAAAGAAGCAAAACCAAACCTCCCAAGCCTACAAAAATACAAGGAGTTAGATGGATTGCAGTGTCCCTTGACTTGCATTTGAGTGCTAGGAATTTCCACATGTTTGTTCCTAAGTCTTCCGGAATACTGCTTTGTAATTCTAACTGAGGTCTTCATCAAAGAGGCTCTGGAAATACCTGCTGTAGGGTGGGATGAATCTTCAAGTGGTGTGCTGATCTGAATTTACTGTGCAGCATTACTTTGTAAAGATAAATGAGTCTGGAGCCAGCTGAAACATGACCTGGAAGCCCTGAGGCTTTTCTTTAGATGGGCAAACTTACAATAACAGCAGGGACATTAAAATTAAAGAAGATGCTGAAATCTCTCTGTATAAAAACAAGTCATATTCAAAGGGGTGAATCTGCAACACTCTGGGGTCATCAGTGTTTCTTGTTACAGTATTTTCTCAGTAGCAGGAGGGCAGATACTGAAACTGTGGCTGTGGTGTACAACGGGATGAATGCGTGCATAACCACAACTTTGTACTTTTGCAGGTATTCAAGAGGAGATATTTCTACTTGTCACAACTCACAGATGGCTCCTATATCCTTAATTCCTACAAAGATGAGAAAATTTCAAAAGAATCCAAAGGCTGTATTTTCTTGGATGCTTGCAATGACGTTGTTCAGGTAGGTGTGCTTTCTGCATGGGCTTATGCATTGCTAGCTCCGAGATAGACATGCTCTCTCCAGGTGTCTGTGCCATCGAGTGGTGAAGGAATGGATTTACAAACTAACACAGAACTGGTTTGCTCTGTCAGCTAACCTGATTAAAAGGCAAGCAAGGCCATATTTTTGGCCAGGAAGTAAGAGAGTAAGAGGAAGAACTGCTGTCAGAGTAAAATGGAAGCATTTCATCATTACCTCATCTGCTGTCTCCCTGCACTGTCCATCTCCTTTACCTGGTTACCGTAGGTCAGGTGGCTTCTAAGACACCCTGAGGGTTGAAGCCAGTAATTGGTGTCACATACTCGTGGGCACCTTCCTCCTCTGTTTGCTGCTTGCACCAACTTCTTGTTTCTTGAGTTACACCCCAATAAGTCCATGCAAGCGTGCAGCCCTCTGGGACTTACAGCCTGCAAAGAGGTTGTAAGGTTTGAGGAGTAGGATTTCTACAGGGCTTAAACTTGGGTTTGTTTTGTAATGCTGAGAGTGAAGTGCAGCAGTGGAGTGCTTCTGTGCCTTTTGCTGTTCCTGTCTCTGCAGAAGCTTCAGGCACCGAGTGTGGTGGAGCTGGTACACCATAAATTACTCCGGCGGTTTGCTTCAGCAGCGATGAGTCAGAGCTGTGCGTTTCCGTTTATCTTTCCGAACACAGTAAAAGCAGTAATGCACACGCCTCGATGATGTACATGGTGTACTTCCCAAGTCGCATCAGATTTGCCTTGGCTTCTGGTAGGAAAATGGTGTTTAAAGGCCAGCAGAGCTCAGAAAAGCTGCCTTGAACCACTTGCTTTTAAGATAGATGCCTCTAAGTGTCCTGGAGTGCAGCATTACATACTGTGTCAGACAAATACAGTTCCTGGCTTCTCTGGGTAAATACTAAAGGTCTGATGACATACGAAGGAGCATGCTTCTACTCCTCAGTACAATGTCTGTGGTTCAGTCTGGCTTTCTCCCACTTTCAGAGTAGCTAGCAACCATGGGGCTGCATGCTGCTTGATAGCAGCTGTGAACCTTTGTGATCACTGCAGGAGAGGTGTGTGTCCAGGAGGGTGCTTGGCTAGTGATTCCTGGCCTTTCAGTTCAGGATGCTTTCACAGAGAGGAGCCTTCTGGCAGGTACTCTGCTGAGTCATTGAGGAAAATGTGTTACAAGTCTTTCTCTTTCTTATTTGTTTGTTTAGTGTCCTAAGATGCGTCGTTATGCGTTTGAACTGAAGACAATAGACAAGTACAGCCACTATCTCGCAGCTGAAACCGAGCAGGAGATGGAAGAATGGCTGGTAACTCTGAGAAAGATCATTCAGAGCAATGCTGAGAGTTTGGTGCCAGAGAAGAAAGATACTGTGGAATCTGTGCAAGGTCAGTTTATAAATAAACACCTACCTTCACCCTTCTCTGCAGGATGCAAGCAGTGTGCCTGGAGAAGTGTATCCTGTTCTTTCTGGATTAATAGCAAAAATTGTGGCTGACACAAGGTATCATGCAAAAGGGCTTAGTATAATGTAGACAACAGTCTGAGGAATAAAAGTGGGGGGAAACATGACCCTTCATCTGGATGGGAAATCCATGGCAAAGTTTCAAGACTCCTGGAAAATTGGCTCTCTGCTGAAGTTCTGCTTTGGAAAGACCTAGCAGGCTGTAATAGTACACTCCACTGCTAGTAATGTATGGAAAAATCTTACTCCTGAGGAAAGGAGAAGTCTCCGTAAACTGTTTCTGTGCTATTGTAAGCAAATACTGCTGGATGCTTTCTGGCAAAGCAGTGCTCCTGCAGTTGTTTTGAACATCTGTTTTTCGTGTCCTTGCAGATGATGAATCAAGCACACAGGGAAAATCAGAGAACATCCTGGAGAGCCTGGAGAGAAGCATGCATCCAGAGCTGATGAAGGTATCGTATTTGCAGAGACTGCTCTCCCAGCCCATAGCTAGTTCTCTCCACCATGTCTATAAAAGGGGTCTTCACTTTCTGTCTTCAGCCCTGGGAGAGTTGGGCAGGCACCAAGTGCTGGTGGGGTCTCTGTGGTCTCACGTACCCGTCTGACATATGGAGCTCTGTGGTTTGGGGTCGCACGCTCCTCACATCCGTGTGTGGGGCCCTTAAGGAAGAGCAGTCCTAGAGCAAATGAAGGGCTGATGCGGTCAGTACTACGCACTCCACAGGGGTGATGGTCCTGGTCATGAGAGTGGAGGGGCGGTTAGGTGACAGCCACCTCCTGGTTATGATCCAGAGTGTGGTTGCCTACTTCCGTCTGCTTTCTCATTTGGCAGAGCCACATCGCTTTACTGCCAGTGCACCACGGTGGCGGCTGCAGCTGAGGAGCCTTGCATCGTCTCACATACCACAAAGGGGACCTGAAAAATATTTACTTTGTTTTGCTTCCATTCTTTCCAAATAACCAGTGTTTGCCTCTGTGTGACCAGGCAGTAATGTCAATGCTTTCCTTTGTCCTAGTATGGGAGAGAAACAGATCAGCTGAACAAACTGAGCAGAAATGATGGAAGACAAAACCTCTTTTCATTCGACCCAGAAGTCCAGGTAAACATCCCCATGTTTGCAGATGTGGTGTTTTGCTCTCTGTGTCATGCCTCCTCTCTTCCCTTGCATGGCCGCAGCGTTCCACTGCAGAGGCAGCGTGTTTTTGAGCGGGCTGGAGGACAGAAGTGCAGCCCCTGTCCCTGTCAGTGAGAGCTGACCCAGGTGTCAGTGCTAGGTGATAGCTCAAATAAGGACTCGCAGCAGCCCCACACGTGGCTTCCCTCCAGCTTTGCTGACTTCTCCGTGTTGCATCTTGATGTTGCTGGATTTCAAACCCATGATCCGGGCCTCTGAGAGGTTTTCTTGTTTGCAGAAGCAGTAGAAGTGGTATTGCAAGGACACGTGCAACACTGCCTGGGCTCAGCACATCTGGAGTAGGGAACAAAGACTGTGACGGGTTTACAGGGAGAGCCTCACTCTTCGTGGAGCTTTCAAATGTAGGGGACATACAGAAAAAACACCCCGTGCTGTTCTCCTGCACTGGAGTAAGGGTTCATTGATGATTAGCTTATTTTCTTCTGAGCTTTGACGTCTTTGCCGAGATCTCTGCCAAGGTCCAGGTGTGGGATTTCAGTGGAATGAGCTGCAATTGTTAACACGGTTTTAGAGAATTGTTCCAAGTTATTTTGTAGTTTCAGGTTCTCCTTCTGGCATGCTTTGGCTTGTTCACACCTATGAAAAAGAACATTCTGGTGTTACAAGGAAATACAATTAGTCTTTAAAAGGTTTAGTTGCACAAAATGAGCTTTGTTCTTGGCACTTCTTTCAGGTCTTTAACATGAAGAAGATAAGCATCTAGGAGGCTTTTTTTGGTAAGAGGAGCTTTGAGAAGTTTCCTATATTCTAGCCAGATAATAAAAATGGAAATAGTATTCAGTGTGGAGCATCTAAGATATCTTCTTTTCCCTAACGATTTGGTTAGGCTGAATTCACTGCCCTGCCTCTATACCCACAGCTCTTCATTCTGGTGTGGGTCAGTTGGATCTGCTGTAACACTGGGCATTCAAGTCACTGCCCCAGTCAATGCTGCTGGGTACGTGCGTGCTTGTATGCCTGGTGCTGAGGAAACTGGGAGCAGGAACATATGCCTGCAATGTACTTTCTTCATTGCAAGGAGTAGAGGAAACAATGGGAAGAGTTCCCCAGAATCGGATTAACAGTTGCAGCCTATTTTGCTGAAATGACTTGATCGTGAGATATCAGCGCCCTAAGTTTGGCATGCAGGTTTCTGCAGGATTTGGGGAGGGGGAGAAATGAACAGGACTGTCCCAGATTGTCACCATGAGATGTGCTGGTGATTTAGGGGTGTTTGCTAGCTCTGTGTCCTCAGTGCCCAGTGCGATGGGTATGGTGGAAGCTGAGGGCCCTTGTCTGGCTGATGGTAGTTTGGTCGCGTACGTGTCTGCTCTCTGGCAAGGGCAGATGTGGAGGCACAGACCAGGCGTGAGCATTCTGGGTTAGGAAAAAGGTGATTATAATCAAGGCTGTTTGGATTTCCCAGCCAGCTCTGCGGACGGTTTTTTGTTGTTTCTAGAAATGCCTTCCCGTTCGACATACTGCTCACGATCCAAACAGTGTGTGCCTTCTCTCTATTTCAGGCACAGGGACCATCTCTTAAGCTAGTCACATCTTCAAAGTGGAAGATATTTTACTGAGCATAACGACGGCTTATGTTCCCCTTTGTTCCCCAAGCTCTAAATGGTGTTTGGGAAGATCCCCAGGGTTACAGCAAAGCAGGAAGGAACTGAAATCATACTGAGGTTTAGTTTTCTGTGCTCTACAAACCAGATTGCTAAAATTTGATACATCCCCCTGAATTCATGTCTTGAATACATTTGTGTAACATCACCAAATGGCACTCATTTGTGAATGTCTTGTCCCTTTTGTACCACTTTAAATAAAGTGGTTAAGATAGCATTGGCTGTCCTGTGATCCTTTAACATTATTCAGGGCGTTATTTTCTTTTTTAATGAGACCAGATTTGTTTGTTTGCTCTCTAGAGGCTAGACTTCTCGGGGATCGAGCCAGATGTGAAGCCATTTGAGGAAAAATGCAGCAGGCGCTTCGTGGTGTGCTGCCAGGACTTCTCCCTCAACCTCCTCGCTCAGCTCAGCGACAGGTCGGAAGGAGGACCCACCAACGTAAGGGGAGCTCTGGCATGTCCTTCTTTGTCTTCTTTCTCCTCACCAGGAAGAACCACCCTTGGCAGAGTGATCTGGGTGGATAAAACATCCTCTTTTGCCATGAGTTCCAATGGGACCTGGGCAGGCAATGGCTGCTGGCCCAGGGTCATTGCCGGACTTGTCTTCCTTGGTGTTTTGGTGTTCCAAAAATGTGTCTGGGGACAGGGTCTGTCCTAATATGTCTCAGCCTGCCAAGAACTGGGACTGCTGGGAAACCAGCTGTCCAAAGACATAGGGAATAGGGAGCATGTCTCCCACGTTGTGGGTCCATGTGAAAGTCCTGTTGGTAAATGATTAAGCTTCTTCTCCAAACCACTTGCTGCTGTGTTTTATTTCATTTCCTCTAATGGCAAGGGATTTCCCTGTTCTGAAACCTTCTTCTGACTTCCAGCCTAACTGTATTCACAGCCACTTTATTTGTTACTGTGCCAGTGTTGTACCTTAGCCTGGATTTCCCTGTTCTGAAACCTTCTTCTGACTTCCAGCCTAACTGTATTCACAGCCACTTTATTATATGCATTTGTTACTGTGCCAGTGTTGTGCCTTAGCCTAAAAAGCTCTTTCTTGTATTTTCTGAGCCTTTGATGTCTGTAGACAGCAATTACATCTCTCCTCAGCCTTTGTTCTGCCAGGCTAAACAGACCAGGCTCCTCCAGTCTTTCTTCCCAAAACATAATCCCTATTATCATGTCCTGCATCTGCTCTAGCTGGAGTCAAACCCTTGTGCAAGGGTGCCAGAGCAGCAGGGAGCATCGCTGGGGGCCAGTGGCACTGGCACTGACCAACCTCCGCTGATGGTGCTTTGTCTGATGACTGTTAGAATTGCAAAGGCTTTTTTGTGATGGTTCCATGTTGACAGCTCACAGCTAGTACACCAGGCTCGTTCTCTTTGGTAACTCCCAGCAGATGAGTGTGTCACTGAGAGCAGAGATTCTTGGTATTCATCCTTAATCAGGCCCAGAGTCAGACCTAATCAGCACATTTTTAGTGTTGATGTAAAGCCTCCAAGTTATGTTGTAATGTCTTGGACACACTACAGTCTTATCTTCAGGCTTTTATCTTTACAGAGGCGCATGCCTGCTAGGATCTTTGGAGTAAAAATACATGGAATTGTTGCCACTTGCCTTGTGCTGTCTAAGTCAACAGCTACAAATGAGTTGGCAGATTCTTCATATGCAGTTGCACAGCAGTGTTAGCCTTGTGTTTGAGCTCTCTTTGAGCTGACTTTGCTCCTGTGCCGCCGGCATAGAGCAGCTGAGGAATATTTTGAGTGTCTTGCAGAGCTGATTGACTTTGGCCAATAAGTGAAATGGTCTTCAGCATGTGAACATAAATGCTAAAATCATAAGTTGATTTCTTTCTCATTGCAAAGGATAAATAGCTCTAACCGATGGATTGGGGTCACCTTTCTAACTTCATATTTTATAATTTATATTAAAAACTCTATGGATTTCATTCTTTAGATTTCATCGATGGTTTTAAAGTAGCTTTATTCAAGTTGACTAGATCAAAATGACAGAAGTTGCAGGAAAAAGATGTGTTTATGTATTTATAAAGCAAGAAAATATAGATTGTCCATAAGAATTCTGTAGAATGCTGGTGTACAAAGCTAAAGGAACAAACAGATGCAGAAGGCAAACCTAGCAGGGAAGGCAATGCATGTGAATACTCTTGAGTCTGAACTACGTATTTTTTTGACACCTATATTCAATCAAATTTCCAGGTTGAACCTTTTTTCCTAAGCTTGGCATTATTTGACCTGAAAAATAATTGCAAGATTTCAGCTGACTTCCATGTGGACTTGAACCCTCCACCCGTCCGTGACATGCTGCTGGATAACTCCGCATCTGGAGTGGAGGGCACCAAGGGACATTCACCAGGCGAGAGCCTGGTGCACGGAGTCCCAGAGTCTTGCCTGCGCTACATAAAACGGGTAAAGAACTGACTTTCTCCTCTCGTTCTGTGTCTCCGTTGAAGCTGTGGCTTTTCGGTAGCATTGTGGCATGTTGGCATCCACTGTGTGGAGAAGCCAAAGCCAGCTGTTCTGTAGAACTGTGGGATTTTGTCACGTTTTGGTCAGTGTCTCAAGCTGATTACCCCTTCGGGCTCACTGGCAGTGATAGGCAAAGCACCAGGTAGAGTTTTTCATGACTTGACCATGCTCCAGCCTTGTGAACCCCCATGGCCCAACCGCAGCAGCAACCAGGGCAGGGTCTGTGTGGGCTGTGAGAGGGGACAGCGAGATGACTGCGGCCAAACCCCGCAGTGCCGGTAGGGTGTCCTGCTCTCTGACAGCCTATTTTCTTTCTGTTGCAGGGGGTTTTCTCCGTGACTGACCCACACGTGGAGATCTTCCTGGTAGCCCGTGTGGAGAAGGTGCTGCAGGGCAGCATCACGCACTGTGCTGAGCCGTACATAAAAAACTCGGACCCGGGGAAGGTATTGGATGGAACCATGAGAGTATTTGCTTAGTGATGCTATCGCTACTGCAGGGAGTAGTGTGGCCCAAAACACGGGTTGTTTCTGTTGCTCTGCTTTCTGGCAAATACTGGTCTGCATTCATTCTGCTACATGTGCTGTCCCCAGGTTGGCATCAGCTGGGCTGTCCTGGGAGAACTGGTTCCTTCCCCTGGAAGGAGGCAGAGCATTTTTAGAAAGATCCAAACAGTTAGGGCAGGGGAACCTTTCCTTGTTACATTTCAACAGGGCAAAGCCTGGGCTGGCAGAAAAAAAGTGGGACACTTCATTCCCAGAGAAAGGGGCTGCAGTGCTACATGGTGCCTCACAGAGTGTCTTGGACCTGTCCCAGCTCACACCAGCTGGGAACAGCGATGTTTAAGTAGCAGCAGAACATGAGCTTCACCCTTTACTCTGTTCGCCCTGCACCTGTCTTGCTCTATGCAGAGTGCCATGATTGCTTTGAGCAACCTGGTCTAGTGGAAGGTGTCCTTGCCCATGGCAGGGGGATTGGAACTAGATGATCTTTAAGGTCCCTTCCAACCCAAACCATTCCATGACTCTTAGATCATATGGGGGAACTTATGCAAAGGGTGGCTATCGGTCCTGGTCCTGCTGGCATCAGTCTCTGCATGCCAGGTGGAGCTGTTGCTGCCTTGCTGCAGCTAGTCAAGATTAGTCCCTCAAAAATCAGTGGATGGAAAACCTGGTATGTGATAGCATTCCCTCGGCACACTTTGTAAACCTGTACAGGATGAGCCAGTTACAGTCAGTTTTGGAAAATAACTACTAATGCCCTTTGGAAAATAAAATACTAACACCTTGACAGTTTAATGCAGAATGAAGAGGAGTTTTAATATGTCTGTGCCCACGCTGTGTTTGCTCTTGCTTTGCCAAAGTAATAAATGTGCGTGGTGTGAAGTGACGGGGATGTCTATCAACTGCTTCAACGACTGTCGCGCTGTGTGCCTGGGAGCTGTGCATTGTGGAGTACAGAGGATTTCTTCTTCTTGTGCAGTGCTCTTTACTCCTTTCCCAGGGCCATGTGGAAGCCGTGGCACGTGCTAACCTCTCCTGTGTTTTGCAGACTGCCCAGAAGGTCCATAAGGTGGCCAAGCAGGTGTGCAGCCGTCTGGGGCAGTACCGGATGCCCTTCGGCTGGGCTGCCAGGTCAGTCACCTCGGACTGCGCTGTGGCGGGAGCTGCTGCCGTGAGTTCTCCGGGACAGGGTCCAGCTGAGTGGGAGAAGGGACAAGCGACTGAAGTCGGTGAAGTTGCGGCCCAGGGCAAGAATCTGGCTCCAATTCCCAAGACAGAGTGGGGATTGGCCTGAAATGCTCTATCTAGAATTAGAAACAAAATATTAAAAAGTAAACAGTCCTGGGAAGAAAGTAACCCTCGTGCTGACCTGTAGCTACTGCTATCATGGCAGAACATTCCTGGGGAAGAATTACCCTGTCCTATGTTACCGCGGGAATTGGGACAGAAATTCTGTCCTGGCAGCAGCCAGGGACAGGATGGGAGTGGAGGACCTCCTGGCCTGGCAGTGGCCATCAGCTGGGGCTTGACTCTCCTCTTAGACTCTGCTTTAATTAATGTTTCTGGGAATGACTGAAGATAGCGATCCCATTCCCTTGCTGTTCTTTTACTGTGACTGATAAAGTACGTCAGTGCTACCTCCCTTAAATCTCACATCAGGGGACAGTCTAAAGGCAAGTTCATCCCTCTGAAACTGCCCCCTATTGCTGAATTTCTCTTTGGTGCTGACAAAAGGGACACTAATGATATGGGAACACCAGATGACTGTCTGGGTTGGGATTTGGTGGTATACAGCTTGCAACGTCTGTTCTTAGGATAGGGTAGGGTAGGATGGGATAGGATAGGGATGAATTTTCCTGTGACACTGGCTGGTCAGCTTCAAGGTGGTCGTTCTGGGATGCAGATTGCTCCTGTGAGTCAGCACACAGCCTGCACAGTGCCTCAGCCCTCTGCCACATGGTGCCTCAGCCTAATAGTGGGCTGTGTGTGGGCATTGACTGACGGGCTTCAGATCTGTGCCTGCTGGGTAAAGACATGCATTTGGAGATTGAGGAGTTGAGGGACCAACAGCCTGGTGTGGGAAGCTGTGTTGCTCTGCATCCCTGGAGCGTTTTCCCTGTGGGTTCCAGAGGAAGCTGTTTGCACAGAGAGAGTATGGATGCCTTAACGTTCCTGCTGCACACAGACACCCGCAGCCTTTATATTCAAGGGCAAGAATGCTAGTATTAATCCAGGGCAGAGTCCAGTCTCCTGCTCTGGGTTTGGGAAGAAGCTGATGTATGTCCTGAGACTGGTTTCCATTGCGCACTCCTTTCCGAGGGTTTCCTTGCTCTGACTGCACGCACAACTAGGAAGGTACTTTGCCACTTGGTGTTTGTGGGAGGGGATTGAGGGTGCTCAGGATTGTGGAGCAGGCTTGGAGCTGGGCTGGGTGTGTACTTCTTACATGGCTGGAGAGAAGGGGAATGGGTGATGCCCCATCCAATTTTATGTGACATGGTGGATTGTGTGGGATCTAAACACCATGAGGCCTGGCGGTGTTCAGAGCAGTCACAGGCCAGTGAACCTCTGCCCTTCAACCTGACATGTCAAAGGCCTCAGTGTCTGCCTATCTGCCAGCATTTAGGAAATGTGTCTCTTTTTTCTGCAGACCAGTGTTCAAAGACTCCCAGGGCACTCTCGATGCTGAAGGAAAATTCTCACCTCTGTACAAGCAAGACAGCGGCAAACTCTCGAATGAAGATATGCTGAAGCTTTTAGCAGAATATAAGAAGTAAGTGCAAGAGACTGTTGCAGAGGCTGAGCAGGCCTTTTAACATACATTTTTAAACAGTTAAGTGTAAGCATGACATGACAGTTTCCAACATTGGTTTACAAAAAGCCTTGCTGATGTGTTCAGCAGCTGAGTTTTCAAGGTTCACACTCTTGTTCCTTTCTCCCCAATGCAGACCAGAGAAGACAAAATTACAGGTTATTCCAGCCCAGTTAAATATCGTCATCAAAGACATCCCGCCAGACTTCACAAGTAAGGATCTTGGATCTTAAAATAAATGCTGATGGCTCTAGCCTCAGGAGTTAACACTTCTGTGGGGAGTTTTGCTGTTTCAATAACCAGAGTATCTCGGGGCTGCAGTGTTTAATTCAGCACAACCCCTGACTTGTAAGTCTGTGGTGGATTCTGTGGAGGGATGTGGTCCAAGTGCAGAGGTTTCCCTGCGGGGTGCATCTGCATTGCAGTTGGGCCATCATATCCTAAATCTGAAGGAAGCCACCTGCCTGCTTTTGCTGTTGTTATTACACCAATCCCATGTAACATTTTTGATCCATAACACCAGAGGGCCTCACACACATGATCAGTGTGATTCTTCACTTTACGTTTAAAGAAACTGAGGCAGAGAAAGGACTCGTGATGTGTTCAGTGTCACTCCCTGGGCCTTTGTCAGCTTCTGTCACAGGTCTGTAGTCCGGCGCCCTGTCCAAAAGACTTTTCTAGTGGGTTTTTTCTATTCTTTGAAAAGCTAGCACTTGAGATGAACTCTCCCTCGTGGTGGATGTGAGTCTCAGTGGTCTGTGCACTGGAATTTGGGGGCAACATAACCATCAAACCTCTTTCTGGAGCAGAGTGTGGAAAAGGACTGAAGCAGTGGGACTGATGCACTTTGAGATGTCAGTCTGAAGCCATCTCAGTAGTCTGTCAGCTGCAGTCAGGTGCTGTTTGCATGATTTATAAAACAGTAACTTAATGGCTTAGGTTGCTGGAGGTCTCAAGGTGTAGGCCCTGGGCAGAGCAGCCATCTCTGCGCAGACATGGGTAGTTCACAAGACCCTTTGACTTTGCCCAGAGCTGCAGGGAAGTGCCATTTCTGCAGTCCCCACTGTCAGGCAGAGCAGAGCCCCGTGGTGCCTGTGCACCTGTTCATTCTCAGTATTGCTAATGCAGTTGGGGACCACAGATCTTGCATGATCAAGGTGAGAATTTTTCTTTAATCATTTCAACGGGAGTGGTCCAAGTCCTGCTGCCTGATCAACACACATGACCCTCTGATGTGAAGAGAACAGGGTGCCCGAAGGCAATGGCAGAGTTTCAGACCCACAGATTTCCTTTCACACGGGCTGTATTTCCCATGTTTGTGGGGTGTACCCTTAGCCAAGCTTTCCTTCTCTTCTAGATTGTGTCACAGCTTCTTATATTCCTATAAAGCCTTTTGAGAAGAGCTGCGAGGACATTGCAGTTGAAGTGGAGGAGCTTGTCCCAGAAGTTGCAAAATACTGTTATCCCTTCACTGTCTACAAAAACCACCTCTACGTCTACCCCTTGCATCTGAAGTATGAGAACCAGAAGGTGTTTGCTAAGGTGAGCAACCTGGTGAGCAGGCTGCAGCCAGACTCAGCGTGGTCCAGGGTGATGCTGCAGACCTTTGGCAGTGGCTCATCCTCCTGTTCTGCCCGTTGCAGGCAAGGAATATTGCTGTCTGTGTGGAGTTCAGGGATTCAGATGAAGCTGATGCCAGGGCACTAAAGGTGGGTACCTGTTATTTCTGGGGACCTGAGGCTCGCTGCTGTGTACTATATGCCAGCCAGGCTGAGCAGGTCAATGGGAAAGCACTGAATTTCCTTGCTGTTTTAATTTGACTGGCTAATTTAGGATGGCAGCAACCCTGAATACAGCTCTTCCTTTGTGTTTCCAGTGTATATATGGGAAACCCGGAGGCCACCTCCTGACTACAAATGCATATGCTTCCGTGCTGCATCACAACCAGAGTCCGGAGTTCTACGATGAGGTAAAAATGAAACAGTGGGAACTAACAAATTTTCCGGGATGCTACAAAGCCAAGGGGCCTTTCAGGATATCTCTTTGTCCAGGGCTGGGTGAAATATGGGTAAAAATAATCATCAGCCCTTTGCCTCAGTAGAAGGGCTCAGCAAAGCTAGAGACTTTGTCAATTTTTAATGCCAGTTTGTTTTCTGCTGTCTTTACTGTCACGCTTTGTGCACTCCAATCACATACCCCCATTAATAAGTAATGTGCAAATGTGATGAAAATGTTAGCCAGGAGTTATTTAAGATGGGCAAGAATGTGTCTTATGTAACTGCATACAACATAGCATTTGTGAAATAAAATGGAACTTAAACTATTACTCCACAATTAAAAATACAGTCTTACCTATCATGATATCATTTTAGATTAAAATTGAGCTTCCAATTCACCTCCATCAAAAGCATCATTTGCTTTTCACCTTCTATCATGTCAGCTGTGAAATTAATACAAAGGCAACATCGAAAAAACAGGACACCGTTGAAACTCAAGGTATGTTCACTGCTTTAATTAATTCTGTTGGAGTGCAAGAGTCACAGATAAAAGTAGTATAGGGACATGAGAAAATATTTGATTAAAATACTAGCCTATCTGAATTTTCCTTTTTGAAAGCAACCTAATACAAATCATAGGTCTAAACTGGAACGAAACACAGTGGTTTTAGTATATACTAAAGCCCAAAATTTGCTGCAATCTGACAGTTATTTCTGCGTGTTCTTGACTTGGCTTCTATGAATATCAGTCAAGTCACCACCAAGAACTTGATGGAAGATCAGGGCCTTGGGGCTGATCCTACCAACACTAGGCATGTGTAAGAGACTGAGCGCACCCAAGTCCCACTGGTTGGGATGCCTCTCCATTCAGCCTGTCCTTGGCTGACTGAAGGACCCTTCTTACGATGCACAAGACTCGCACACCATTTCGGACCCTCCAACCTGCTCCTGGTCTTGGTTGAACTGTGTCTGAATTTCATTCACTGAGTCGCTGGGTAAAATGTGCTTTAACAAGGCTGGCATGGTTGATCTCATCCTCGCTGAAGCCACTTGCACAACTGCAAGCTGGATTTTCTCAGGGTGAGACACAGCTTTTTTTGGAGCTTGAGTTAAACATGTATTACTGTGTGTCTGCTAACTCTGTCCTCTGGTTGCCTCCGCAGTGGGATATGCCTGGGTCCCATTGCTGAAGGATGGACGGATTGTCACCCTGGAGCGGCATTTGCCGGTTTCATCCAACCTTCCACCTGGCTACCTGGGTCACGGGGACACAGAGTCACGAAGGGTAAGAAGGCTACTTAAAATGGACTTAAACGTAAAGGGAAGAGGAAATCTGCGCTTTTGTTACCACTGTAAGTTCTGGGCTTGTGTTTGTGCTCTGCTCAGCTGGAAAGATCCCTACTGCAGGGCAGCCCCCAAAGCTTAAGGTTCTTAGGGGTGGCAGATGTGACACTTCTAATTCCACTTTCCATGGCTATATAGGTTGCAGGGAATATTTGCTCTGCATGTGGTGCAGAGAAGGAGTGTAGGCACGTGCTCTCTGTGCACGTTCTTGTGGGGATGCCTTTTCCACGCCATGGCTGCCGTCAGGTTGCTGGTGTTGGCACTGGAGGGGCCCCATTTTTCCACCCCAACCCGTACCTTCAGACCAGGTGTTTGCCTGCACTGAGCCACCGTCTCACCACAGTCTGAAACCAAGTACTTCAATGTTGTCTGTTCACAGCAGCCCAGCGTGGACGCAAAGTGGGTGGATGGAGCAAAGCCACTGTTTAAAATCAGAATCCATTTGGATTCAACCATTTACACCCAGGTAAGTCGAGCACCTCGTTCTTAAAGACTTACAACACATGCAGAGGAAGTGATTGCTGTAGCTCTACGACTGCTATGCCATTGGCAGCAGGTTTGGGATTACTTGCAGGGCTCTGCTCCTTTGTCCAGCTGTGATGGGACAGTTGTGTGAGTGAATGAGCCTAGGGAGAGGCTCATGTTTTCTTGGCCGCTTGCACTGTAACAGGAAGGACCAAGGAAACGTTTGAGCAAATGGTCTGCTTCAATGAGGCAAGAGAGAACAGCTGGTGGAAATGGGACGTTCCCCCAGATATTAGACTATTCGTTGAGTTTAAAGAAAAAACAAACAAACAAAAAAAAGCAACAACAAAAAACCCACACACAACCCAAAAACCAGACATAAACCCCTGTTTTCTGATGACAGAATACACAAGGAAACAATGCCCTGATTTCCCTTTGAAACCAGTTCAGGCAGTTTTACCAAGTCCTCGTGTGTTCCACCATCTGATGGTGGTGATGGATTTCCCCAAGCTTCTTGTGATGTGCAGCAAAGATCCCCGCCACATGCTCTGAGGCACCTCCTGTCAGCACTGCTCATAGGGAAAAGCCCTTGGCAGGGCTTGTTGTCCCATGCTGGATGTAATGAGCTACACTTATTTACAGCAACTCACTTTCAGCATCATCTAAACTTATTTTAGGCTCTTGCTGGTTCTGTACAGCACTGAGAGCAGCACAGTAATTCCACTCTCCACCAAATTACATTCTCAGATGCTTTTACAGGGTTAAATAACCAAGGTAATTAAATTTAACCTTGGAGAAGGAGGGAGAGGAACAGGAAGGAGAGTCTGACCCAGATGAACAGACAGGAGGTTGGTGAGGCTAATGACAGTCTCGAAGAGTTGCAGCTGGAGGAGGGCCCCGAGGTCTGCTAGCCACTGTTGGACACGGACTGGGGCTCAGAGTAGTGCAACTATAGGACAATTTTAACACTGCTGGCTGTTTTGTGCCTAATCTCGACATTAGTTGGGAGCCAGGGATGGGGAGTGGCTGGACACATTGGAAAAGGCAGGGAGCAGTACTGTAGTCCTGGGATATGGCAGCTGTGGACCAAAAGTGCCACTGGTAGTGACACGGGACTGGCTAGGGACATAGCCCACTGCCAGATTTTTGGGTGTATGCTGCAGGGTAGGGGTTGCCAAATACTGAGGCTGCTGCACTGAGCTTGTTTTTCTTCTTTTCCAGGACATGCACTTGCACAAATTCTTCCAGTACTGCCAGCTGGTTCAGGCGGGAGCTAAGGAAGTCCCAGGAGAGCTTGTTAAATACCTAAAGGTGAACAGTGCCTGTTGGTGGGCTTTGTTTGTGTTTTTACGGACCATCAGTAAACACCCAGAGCCCTGCCCTGCAGGAACACGCACTCGCTGCAGCGCTGGGACCGGGGCACTGTGCAATATCCTCACCTTTGCTTACTGACACAGCTGTCTGCATGCTGCATCGCTCTGCCGTGCCCATGGCAAGCCCTCCCGCTGGGCTCATGCACAACTCCTCTGCCGCCCTAGATATGATTCAAACCTTTAAACTGTAGCACAATTCCTTGTTTTCAGGATTATCCATTGAAAACAGGATTTTTTTTTTCAGGCTGGAAAAGATCTGTGAGATTATTGGTCAGTTAAATCTGATCACAGATGACCTGTGACCTAGAGCCAGCTTTCTGGCAATCACTGCAGCATTAGTAAGGGCCTCGGAGCAGGTCCAGCAAAGGCTTCTGCAGGGACTATATTTCTTGGCTGCTTACTCTCCTTCCATAACTGCCTGTTTTTGAGAGTGCTGCCCTAGCAACAGCTCCACTTCCAGTGGTGGGGATTTATCATCACAAAGTTACTGAGTGTGTTTCAGATAACCTATAAATATTTTAAGAAACAGAAATAATGGCAGGTTTTGAAGCCAAGCACTAAAAGAACAGTTGTCTTGTGAGAATTTCATCAAAGGTCCCAGCCCTGCCAAGCCACAGCGACCTCGCTGCAGGCAGGGAGACATTTACATGCTAAGTGCCAAGTGAGGGCTTCTTACCACCAACACATCACTCTTCAGTAATTTAAATACCTAAACACAGATTTAAGACCCTTTCATTATATTTGCAGGTTTGAAAACTGAAAATGAAGTGCACTGTCTTTCCTAGACTCGTATTGTGAGATTCAGGCAGAAGAGGTCTATGAGATGGGTGGAGGATGTATGCACTGGATGATCTTGACCTTCACCGAGTCACTTAAATCCTATTATTTCTAACAGCAAGCTATGCCCTTTGGAGAAAAGTCTCAATGCAAGTCATCGTGTTTCCATGCTCCAAAGGGATTTGTGAAAATGGGACTTAGTCACCGCAAAAAAATTATCTCAAGTGATGAGAAACTTCAGCCTTAAATTCTGGGTTATTGGGGTCAAATCATAGCATGTGGCCTCTAATTAAGTCATAGCTGCCTGGGCACATCTGAGAGGAGGATTAATACCTGCTATGAGTGATTCATGGAGCTCCCCAAAGGCACGCAGCTGGGATCGGTCAGCTGGGAGGCAGGCAGTAAGTGCTGCTATGGGTCCAAGTCCTCCTGGCCTCTGGCAGGCCGAAGCCCACACCCTGACACATCTGCTAATGCCTGTCCTATTGCCACAGAAATGTCTGTGGACTATAAACATTTAACATCTGCAAAATGTCGAACTAAAAGTGTCTGTGTTTTGAACATTTGTTTTAGTGTTTGCACGCCATGGAGATCCAAGTAATGATTCAGTTTCTACCTGTAATTCTTATGCAACTATTTAGAGTCCTTACAAATGTGACCCAGGAAGATGAAGTAGCTGTCAACTGCACCATGTGAGTGTCTGGTAAACCATACGGTTTTCTTCAGTTACAAACAAAAAGCCACAAACTGCGGTGCAGAGCAGGGTGTGGTTTCCCAGTCCAGGGTGTGAAGTGGCAGCTGTGCTGTGAAATACCGGCTGCTGCCTTCTCCGGGCACGTCTGGGTGGCGTGGGGCTTCTGTCCTGGGAGCTGTGAGGGGAAGAACGCGGTATTTTAAAGCTACTCCTCTTTCGTTGTTCAAAAGAAAAAGGTTTTGCTGGGTTAGCAGTGCTGGGCCACGCCTGCAGCCCCAAGAGGGCAGCACCGACCAGGGCCTGGTCCCCGAGTTTGCTGCCTTGCGCAGGGCCTGCAGGGAGCAGGGCCCCTGCCTGGCCCTGGCCAGACACCCCTAAACTCATGGATGAGGTACAGCCACTCCATGGAGATCTTCCTCTGGCTCCGGGAGGTACCGTGCATCCTTGTACCACAAGCATCTCGCTCCCGTGAAACCAGAGGTCGGGGCCTGAGCTGTCCCCCAGGGATGTGGGGCCTGAGACCTGGTCCCCCAGGGACGTGGGGCCCATTGCAGTCACAGTCCTGCCCCATGTGAGGCAGGGCACTGTGCAGTGCACAGCACCGTAATCCCACCCTGCAGAGCACCATAATCCCACCCTGCAGAGCCCCGTAATCCCACCCTGCTTGCATCAGCAGAGGGCAAGGACAGGCACCCTGGCTACTCGCTGAGTGACCAGCTCCCACCTTCCCTTCCAGAAATTTTATCAAAGCTTGGCCTGATGTTTTCCAGTTTGTCACTAAGCTTTCTGTTTAATGACCACAGTTTTCTCATCCAGACATTCAGAGTGAAATTTAAAACCCACTTTATCTGATAAATGGCTTGTAAACTCCTCCCTGTGGTTTGGCCTGTGGGGTCTGGGACAATGTGCAATAGTTTGTTGTTCCCTGTGGCTGGAATGTAAATCCCCAAAGTTGGCTGGGGAAACCAGGCACTTGCTGCCTTCATCAACTGCCTGGAGTGCTTCCAGAGGGCTGGCATGTCCTCCAGGGTCTGCCTGTCCCCAGTGAACTGCAAGGCAACAGCCCAGGAATAATCCAGTGCATGTAACAAGAAGCCTATGATGTAAATTCAGAATTCATAAGTTAAGGGGATGCAGGAAGGTATCAGTATAATAACAATGGAGAATTTTTCCCCTGCTTCTCAGCAGAGATTCTGTGAGGTTTTAGTGTTCATTTTGCAGACGTGATGTAGTAGAATAGTTGTTCATCATCACTGGTATTATCATTAGGAAAGGGCTCCCAGTGAGGGTAGACTTAACACATAATAAGCATTATAGTGTGGATGAATCTGTAGCGTGTGCAGGAGGGGCAAGTGGGCTTGCTCTCCATATAGCAGTCTATATATACAGCCAGAGAACTGCGTGCAGAGCAGATGAACTTAATATTTTTGTTTTCGACTTACCTAACACCTGAGCATTGTTCAGGTGCCTAATGCTCACTGCAATGTGAATTTAAGTAGCTGCAGGCTTTAATGCTGGCATGCACAGAGGCCAAAGGATAGGGTATGTCCCACAGAGAAATGCTCCACTTTACCTCCTTTGTGCAGGGAGCCTCGAGCACTGAAGGCAGCTGGTCTTGGCAACACCTGGCCCAGCACTGAAGTGGATGAGAGGCTTTGGCCACCTCATCTCTGAGTGCTTTGTCAAGGGGCTGTGGTGTGTCTGGGGTGGTGCAGCCTCAGGAGCTGTGAGGGGTACTAGCCTGCAAGTACTGGCTCTCTGCAAATGAGGCCATGCCAGTGGTGAGGCTTTTGTGGCTGAGCAGGATGGTGTCTGCTTTACTGAGCTGGAGGAACTTGCCCTCGCATTGCGTGCTGAACACAAACCACATTTCTCCTCAGGGTTCTTCTGCACATCGTGTCCAAGTGCCATGAAGAAGGTCTAGACCATTACTTGCGCTCCTTCATAAAGGTCAGTCATGACACACCGCTCTGCAAAACCCCCTCCTGGGAGCAGGCATGCCGCTGACACTGTTCCTCTTCCCTCAGTACGTCTTTCGAGCTGAGAAACCCAGTGTCACACAGGCAAAGATGACCCATGAAATCCTGGTCCTTTCCATGGCCACAATCTTGAAGCAGTCTGCAGATTTTCTAGCCATCAATAAGCTACTCAAGGTGAAGTATTGGCAGTACTTGGCTACCAAGGGTAGAGGGGAGGAGGAGGGGATCTGGTATAAAGCCCAACAACTTCACCCATCCAAACCCACCACAAGAACAAAGCTACCAGGGCAGCATCCACATCCTGGAGGTTCTCCCCTTACAACAGAGATGAATTCTTGCAAGGAACCTGGCTGTGTTAAGGTTCATGGCAGGACACAGCAGAGGGCTTTTCATCTTGCCAGTTTTACCTATTTTCTTCAAGCCACATGTGAGAGGTGACTCACAGGAAGCAGGTTGAGTTTCTGCCTTTATGGGCCTTTGCAAGACTTGCACCCCAAACTGCTGGCTTCTTGTAGGGTGCATGGGGGTACAGAGGGGATGGAGCTCTTCCCTCCCCCAGACTGGCAGAACTCCTACAGGTAGCAAAGGCACCCATGCCAAGCTAGCTGGGCAAGCACAGCTGGGCTAACAAAATGTCATTTGGGCGTGAGGTCTCCCTCCCACACGGCTGCTTCCCCACATAGTCAAATGTATTCAGTTCTGCTGAGGAAAATAATAGTATTCTTTGTTCATTCTAGCACTCGTGGTTTTTCTTTGAAGCACTGGCGAAGTCAATGGCGATGTACTTACTGGAGGAAAACAAAATCAAGGTAAAAATTAGTATGGTCGATGCTGCATTACAGAGCCATCACAAACAAACTCTCCTTCAGAAGTTTTTCTGGAAAACTATGTAACTCTTTATTTTAAAGAACCCTGACAAGCTGAACAGCTAGCCGGATCTTTCCTTTTTTTCCCACTACTTTTTCCTTCTTCCCCTTTTCACTCTCAGTTGCAGTTTAAAAATTCCAGATCTCGTGCAGCCTCCCTTTCTGTTTTTAGCTACTGCCATTTCAGCCAGTGCTTTCTTTGTGCCAATGTTTTATTAGGAAACAACACAAACAAATGCTAAAGAGAACTTGTGCCTGCGCTCAGTTCTCCCCAGCTGCTGGCTTGCAGCACTGAGTGTGGGACATGCTTTTGGTTTCAGCTACCCAGAGGCCAGCGGTTCCCCGACTCTTACCAGCACGCCCTGCATTCGCTGCTGCTCGCCATCATTCCTCACGTGACCATTCGCTACAACGAAATCCCTGAAGAGTCCAGGAATGTCAACTTCAGCTTGGCTAACTTCCTGAAGGTCAGCAGATTCTTTCCTTCTTTCAGGTTTTTATCAGAAAAAAAAAGAACCCCCAAACAATTAGAAATAAGCAAACAAATGTGGGTTTACTTTATAATTTCTTTGGTTTTGTCAATGATGAAAAGGCTGGAGGGGATTGTCTTTCCTAGGAAAGAAACTTCTCTTTCCAAGAGAGAGACTATGATAGCCTATATGTTATCTAAGGTTTTCAGTCATGCCTAGCAGCTGTTCAAAACTGAGAGGAAATATGTGTGCTCTCATTTTAAATATTTCTGTTGTCCACTGGAGACTTAAGTGAGGTCATCCAAATAATTTCAGAGAAACAGAATCACGTATGTTTTGGAAAGTCAGCAGCAGCCCAGAGGATCAAATCTGGCTTCTGGCGGGACAGTAGTATGGAGACGATTTAGGCTGATTGCTTTTATTTTTAATGATTGGTCACATGGTTATTTTTTCTCCAGCGTTGTTTGACCTTCATGGACAGAGGATTTGTTTTTAACTTGATAAATGATTACATTTCTGGATTCAGCCCAAAAGACCCTAAGGTAAGCTGTATATTTCTTGAAAGGTGTTTTGCAGTTGTCTGCATCTATGTCAGTCAGTGATTATTTTGTACGACTCTTGGAGGCTTTTTAGACACTCGTCCTGTTCCTCTTCTGGAGGCAAAGTCCTCTTAGTCTGGGCCGAGAGCCTGTATGCGAAGAGTCAGAACTAAAGGAGAGGTTGGTCAATAGTCCAGGTGAAAACGGTAAAGAAGCCCCAAGTGGCAGCCGCATGCACAGACACTTAGAGGGAACAACACTCAAATTTTTCTGTCATTACTGAGTTTCACAAAATGCTACTTAGATTCCCCAATCCTTGGGCAACAAACACGTTGAACTGGAAGTAAATTAATCAGGCTGAAAACATAGTTTGTACTTGTCTTTTTTTTTTTTTCTCAGCTGCTTGTTGAATACAAGTTTGAATTTCTTCAAACAATTTGCAATCATGAGCACTACATTCCTCTGAACTTACCAATGACCTTTTCCAAACCCAAGCTGCAAAGAGTTCAAGGTATGTGCTTTCCCAAGAGACTGGCTAGAGAGCTATAATGTATTATTCTTGATGGCTTCTGAACAGATGGAATTTGATCTGGTGTCAAGGAAATTGATATCCTGGTTAGCCTGATTTACACTGACATCAGGAAAAGATGTTGTTCTGGCAGGTTGACATCATTTTGCTCCAGAATGGTATGCAATCGGTCTTTTCAGTAATTCCTATGTTTAAGTTTGCATGGGGCTAATGGTTTCTGTAGGAAATTGCCTCTGCTTCAACAAAGACACAAATAGTGCAAGTGTAATCTTTCCTTCCCACGAATGTCAGCCTCCTCTAAGAAATAAGTGTCTCATTGATTGGTGCTGTAGGGAATGGAGGTACAGAAGAACAGGTTGAATTCACTGCTCCACTGCCAGCTCTCTTTGTGGCCACAAGAAGGTGATTTACATTACCTTCTGCTTTTGTTCTGAGCACGAGTAGCAGTGCACAATGCATGCAAGCTTGTACTCGAACCTGGGCTGAAGGCAGCCAGCAGAGAACATTAGGCCATTGCCAACCCTTGGTGCCTACCAAGGGCATAGTGACTGTGGCACCTACGTGTATCCAAGCTGCTCTTGCTGTCACACCACGTCCCCTTTGGTCCTCATGCTGCTCACCACGGGGCAGACGGGGTTTGCAAGGGGCTGAGCTGAGGCACGGTGCAAGCATGGGTGGCTGCAGCTGTGCGATTGATGACAGCGCAGACACACAGCACTGAGCCCAGCAGCCTTGCCGGCCTCCTGAGATTGCTAGAGACATAGCCTCATTCTCTCTGCATCCTGATTTCCTACCTCTGGTAGGTAAATACAGTAAAGATTGCCAGGCTTGGGTGCTAATAGCCTGGCAAGGCCAGTACCGGGGAGGAGAGTGACGTTTGGGATTCCCCCATGTGAAAGCCCAGTGGGTTTATGATTCTATGACGTATTCTGGTGGAGGCCAAGGGGATGGTTTAGTTGTGCCTCAGCCAGACAAATCCCAAAGTGGTTCCACACACATCCAGGTGGCAGAAGCATCAGTAACAGTGAAGTTTCCCGTGTTTTGGTATGTTTCTGACCGCTCAGAGCTTTCTGGACCAGATGCTAATCTCTTACATCAGTTTGGATACTTGCTTGGCATAGTTTAACAAAACACACTGCTAGAAATGGCTGAGAAAGAGAAAAACACACAACCACAATCCCCGTTGCTTATTAGGAGCATGATAACATATGGATGCTCTTTCTTGGTTAACATTCACAACTACATTTGCGGTGGTTAAATAGAGAAGCTGTAAGAGCAGCTCATCTTCCCTCCTCTGTTTTACTGTGACTAGGACGTACCAGCTGAGGTTTTACTTTTAAAATACATATTTTAAAAGAGTGGTAGCAGTTGTCATTCACACACAATCTTGCCAGTGGCGCAGCCTGTCCTCAGGTAGCAGAAGCACCTTTGCAGTGGTGCCTGTGCTCTGCCAGCCTCTGCACATAGTCTGGTTTTATGGATAGACCTGTGATTACGGGGGACATCAGGCTCAGAGATGGGGAAGCACGACGTGCACATCACCAAGGAGGTATCCTGCTGGCACGTTGCACCTCTTTATCAGCTTATTTGAATGAAGAGAAGGGACATGCCTTGCCCTGTACTTCTCAGTTTCTGGGAAAAGGAGGAATAGCCCCTAGGAAAGTGGATAAAGAGGTCTTCTGCAGCAGAAGCTGGTGCAGACAGGCCTGCAGCAGAGCACATCCCTGTGACCACATCCTGTTGAGTTGGAGAGCTGCATCTTGGAGCAGTTTCTCTGAACGTCTCAGCTAATACAGCTGGTTGCTGGTCTGTAACCCCCCAGTTTGCCCTCACAACTCACAGCATAGAATTGTTTTTGCAATCTTGTGATAGCAAAGAACCCCAGAGATTGACAGAAGCTGGGAGTTAAGCAATAGTCATACAAATAATATTAAAACGTGGCATACTGTCCTATTTCTCCAAGATTTAGAGCATTACTTATTCCTGTTTATTTTTGCTGGTTTTTTATTTGTTCCTTTTCTTTTTACACATGAATTAGATTTTTTTACATTTGCTGTGGAACGGTTCACTTCAGTAGGTAGGTCCAGCTGAGACCACTTAATCCTCTAATGTCAAATGAAATATGCAGCTTCCAATCAATTAGCTTGCAACCAACTAATGAAATAACTATGATGTGTGACACTTCGGCATTTGCTAACATGACTAACAGTGAAGGCTAAATAATGCTCCAGATTGTTTTCTCTTTCCTCTGAATCAGACTTTCACAAACCAGTAAATGCTGCTTATGAATCAACAAACTTAAAAATATCTTTTGCAGCCACAGAGGTGTTGGAACTCTTTGACTGGGATTTTCAAAGCTGTGTTTATGCATCTGCCTTACCACAGAAAAACTTTCACACTTATGGGGTTTTTAAAAAAAAACCCAAAACTGAGCTGAGCAGACAGCATTTTGTACCCTTTGGGCGAAGAACGCACAGCATCGGGGTTATCCTTCTGGGAGGCTTAGTGTCATAATGCAACAGTCAAATGGTGCCTGTCACAGCTCTGATTAGGCATGTGGGTTGCCTGACAGAGATAACGGTGTCAGGGCAAGGTCATTTGTGGCCACCCGAGTGCACACGCACCCGCACTGAAATCTGTGTCTCTGTCGCTCCTCTGCAGCATTATCCAGGCAAGTCAGTGGAAATGATGCCTTATCCTTGGAGCAGCTGCTCCATTGATCACAGTATATAGCCAGAATCAGTGTGAGATGCAGGGTACCAGTTACCCAGGGTGATTGGGTACTGAGCTGCCTTTCTGCTGGCAGTCAGAGCAGCTTTTAAGGAGCGGTGTTCACTATCTGCTGGTGGGAAGCTAAGGGAGTCTCTCAGTTTCTGGCAAGCAGTTGCCTGGAGCCCTGCCCTGGCTTCCTGGTCCCTGCAGTGGGGCTGGAAAGCTCAGCTGTGTAAACTGCTGGAGATTGCAGTAGTAGTCACTTGGCACCATGTCCTTGTTTGCATCCCTCATCCCAGAAGGTGTATTTGCCTTTTCTCTGCTTTCCAACCTTGCGAGGTCAAATGCTGATTTCACAGAGGCTGTAGAACAAGCTGCAGAGATGGCACTGCTGGGGCTGGGGGACCATGACAAACACACCATCTCCACTGCTCGTTACCACCCTCGTAGCTGCTCCGTGGAGGCTAGCACCCGTGCTGCCTGGGTAGGTGGGGGATTTACAAGATCAGCCACAGTCAGGACCAAAGCAGCTCCCAGGCAGTACTCCATGCTGTCTTTCCCCCTTTCATCCATCTCTGACTTTACAAATTACTGTTCTTAGCACTAAGGTTTGCAAAGCATCACACTGCAGAAATCCATCATATAGCTACTGCTGAAACAGTGAGGGCTGAATTTAATGCTTAGCCTGAGCTGGAAGATGCCAAGTTCTTTGTTATGACTTAACTCTGTGGTGGAGAAAACTGTAGCTAGTTCAGGCTTTATTAAAAGATCATTGCACTCTAGGAGAGAGGGAGATGAACCTTGCTCACAGACTGTTTTGGCTTACTTGACCATCATGTCTTGCTCTGAACAGATCCTCCAAACAGTTCCCTTAACCATTGCCTTGTTGTTTCTTTCAGATGTAAATCTCGAATACAGTTTAACTGATGAATATTGCAGGCACCATTTCCTGGTGGGGATGCTTCTCAGAGAAGCCTCTGTTGCCTTGCAGGACAACTACGATATCAGATATACAGCCATCTCAGTCTTAAAAAATCTCTTGATAAAGCATGCCTTCGACAACAGATACCAGCACAAGGTCAGGTATTTTTGTTGGCTTTTAAATGTAATGTTCTTGAATTTTAGGAAAAAACACACGTCAGAGTTTTATATCTTGCATGGGGCACCAAGGGTAAGGGTATTCTCATTACTTTTTAGGAAACTGTTGTAAATAACTGATAGTTATTGCAAAACAGTAAAAGCTCTGAGAAATAATCTAGGAACACAAACAATGCAGTCAGATAACTGCAGTGTTCTTATTCATGCTGAGTATTTAGATAATAAAGCCCTGAGCCATTAAGGAACTTGAGAGTGTCGTTAGCCAAGAGGCTGCTCAACAAAATTAAGCAACATCAATGTTCTGGTCTTGGGCTTAAATTAATATCCTGCACTAATATACTATAATTAGGAAACAGGACTGATGTCTGTTACAAGTCAGCTGCATGTTTTACTAATTAGTGAATCAGAGGCGAGGATCTGTGGATTCTCAGAATCATAGAATGGTTAGGGTTGGAAGGGACCTTAAAGATCATCTAGTTCCAACCCCCCTGCCATGGGCAGGGACACCTTCCACTAGACCAGGTTGCTCAAAGCCACATCCAGCCTGGCCTTGAAGACATCCAGGGATGGGTCATCCACAACATCTCTGGGCAACCTGTTCCAGTGCCTCACCACCCTCTCTGTGAAGAATTTCTTCCTGACATCTAATCTAAACCTCCCTGATTTCAATTTATACCCATTACCCCTTGTTCTATCACTACAGGCTCTTGTAAAAAGTCCTCTCCCAGTACCCTTGAGATGCTGGATTTCTGCTAGGTAGCTTTCTGCTTGCTTCGTCAGAGGCTCAGCCTGTGGTATCGCTGAAAGAGCCTGGAGACAGGCTTGTTTTCTTTCCTGATGCTGCTCCCTGCTGACCCATATGTCCTTGGCAGTGCCCAGCTACCTGTGTGGACACTACCTGTCCTTGCTCTAGGCTGAAAACATGCCTCTGTTTAGAGTTTTAGCTCCTTGAATTGCTCCTGGTGTGCTGCATTCCTGATTTTTTCTGGGAATATGGTTAGCCCTCCTGGGCATGAAGGGTGGGAGAAGTGACCCAAATGTGCCCAGGGCTCCTGTGCTGTGCATGGACCCAGAGCCTCTCCTCTCCTTTCCCTGCCTGTTTGGAAGGGCTAAGCAGGAGGTGGGCATGCTTCCCTCTGCAGCGACGGTCCCTGGAGACTTGGACAGCCTGGAAACAGAACTGCAGCCCACGGTTGTTGGCAAGACCTGATATCTGAGGAGAGATGTGCCAGCTCTCTGCCAAGGCTGGGTCACAGGCAGTCTGTTTCTGCTCTTCTGGGTGCCTGCAAACCCTGACACTAATTCGGGAGCTGTTAGCCCCCTCGGCATGCAGCACTCTCCCTGCCTCCTCAAAAACATCACCCGTCTTAAAATTGTCCTGCTGGATTTTTGTACGTGCGTTGTGCTCTGGGCTGCGTGACCAGGAAACTGCCTGGAGCCAGGGCAGGATGCTCATCTGGTGTCCCGAGACACCAAAGCAAAAAATCATGTCACGGACGGGGCAGGCTGAGCATGGCAGGGTCTGTTGGCTGCAGTCTCCCTCTGACTAAGGAAACCTTGGCTCCATCAGTGGCTCGGAGGGGGTTTTCTCAACCCATGGCCATTTTTTAATTTCTTTTCTCTTTTGTCCTACTGAATCAGAAGAAAAAGTTAGATTCTTGTATCAGTTAAAATCTGCTATTCAATTCACAAGCCTTACATTTCTTTTTTTTTAACTTTTCTATCAAATCCAGAATAATACCTTTTTAACAAAAAAGAATTGGATGTAAAAGAGCCCTGCATTTAGAAAACATTAACCAGACACTTTTTCATCTGTATCAGTTAATCCAAATTAATCTATTCCTACCAGCTGTTTTTACTAGAAGCATTTGCTGTGGAGAATTCCTGACTGGAAGCAATAGCCAGCACCAGGCGAGGAGCAAATGGGGTTTTTGGGTGTTGCAACTCCTGTGTGTTGCACTTGAAAATCAAGCTGTGCGAGTGAAGTGCAAGTTAAAGAGTTAGGAAATCCGGGATTTAGTTTGTTACACATCCTGTATGACTGGGAGTGTTTATTCAGCCCCTAAAATTCCTGAGTCCCCGAAGCTTGCTGCGAGAAGGTTAATAATCTGCCTGGCAGCTCTGGAAGTGGAGAGGAGAAGCGAAACCAACCCATGTCCTCAGACACCATATACAATGTGTAAATATATATATATACACACATACACATGTATATAGAGCATGTCCAGAGAAGGGAACAGAGCTGGAGAAGGGTCTGGAGCACAATTCCTGTGAGGAGTGGCTGAGGGAGCTGGGGGGGTTCAGCCTGGAGAAGAGGAGGCTCAGGGGAGACCTTATCACTCCCTACAACTCCCTGAAAGGAGGGTGCAGAGAGAGGGGGTCGGTCTCATCTCGCAAGTGACAAGTGATAGGACAAGAGGAAACGGCCTCAAGTTGTGCCAGGGGAGGTTTAGCTTGGATATTAGGAAAAATATCTTCACGGGAAGGGCTGTTAGGCATTGGAAGGGGCTGCCCAAGAAGGTGGTGGAGGCACCACCCCTGGAGGGATTTGAGAGACTGTGGATGAGGTCCCAGGACATGGTTTAGTAGAGGATTTGGCAGTGTTAGGTTAATAGTTGACTTGATGATCTTAAAAGTCTTTTCCTACCTAAACAATTCTATCGTTCTATGTGTTTTGTCTCAGGAGTTTCCCTTTTTTGCTGCATTGAAAGCCTGGGCTCTTACCTACATTTTTCTCTCCATCTTTTTCCAGAACCAGCAGGCAAAAATAGCCCAGCTCTACCTGCCACTGTTCGGGCTGCTGCTGGAGAACCTCCAGCGAGTGGCCAGCCGCGAGGCACTCTACTCCTGCGCAGCCGCTTCCAGCCCCGTGAGTAAAGCCCAGCAATGCCTCTTTGCCCTCCTACTCATTCCTTCTCTCCCCGCACACCCCCTGTGCAAGTTCCACTGCCTGCAGCCAGGCTCAGCTTCAGAAATGAGTGTGTTTTAATTCTCCCCACGGCCCCATGATGTGCTTCTTTGTTTTAATTTGGCTTGTCCTGTGACTTTGTTCTGTCTGCGGTGCTTGGTACCACATCTGCCCTTTTCCTTGTTATCATTTAATGTGTTTCTTTATGCTATGTGCAGTGTTGTGAGGTGAGGTCCCTCCAAATGCAATGAGTTGCAACAGGACTCAGCCTCACACTCCAGCAGCTGTTCTGGTGAGTCACCCATCGGCCTGAGGTTGTGTGTGGCTCCCAGGGAGGCTTGGCCTTGCAGATTAGACTTCCCTGCAGGTTCGGAGCAAAACAACAACAACAAAAAGACATTTGATAAAAACAATTCAAAATTTCAACTCAAATGATGAAAAACAAAAGGGAGAAACTGTTATGAGTTACTTTCATATGTTTTGCTGTTATCTGTACTCTTCCCCAAGTCATTTGTCTTCTTGTTATAGAAGTAAGGAAATAGATATTTTTTTTTTTTAATCTGCATTTCTGCTCTAATTTGCTTTTTTTATTTCAATATTTTCTTCTATAAGAGAATAGGTGTTATCTTCCATTGGTCAAAAAAACCTTAAATTGCTTTACAGGCATCCAGGGATGAATTCATGTGTGGTTTTGCATCCCCCTCAAATAGATCCAGCCTGATTGCAGACAAAGATCCAGGTAAATTAATTATTCTAAACGTTAATTTTCCCGTTTAATTTTAATGGAACTATTACCAGCCCCCAAACCCCATTACCCAAAACCTAAAACAATCATCTGCCAAACAATCTCTCAGAGTTTGTACGCTTTTCCCTGGACATGATGTCACTCCAGCTGTCCTTCCGGACAGAGAATCAGCTTTTGACATGGGGTTTTGGCAAGCCCCATCTGCGCTGTCGGAATCGCATCCTCTGCTGGCTTTCCGTGATGCGCTGAGGAGTGCTGGTGCAAAGGGGTTAATTGTGGGGTTTGCTTTTTTTCAGCCTGCGGAGCAGCATTTCCCAATGGCCATGTGATAAAGCGAGAGGACTCGAAAGGATCCCTGAACTCAGAGGGGGCAACCAGTTCCCCGGATCAGATCGAAAATGTAATTTATCTGGGGTTAGAAAGGACGGTGCTCACTGCACCAGTCTGTGGGCTGTGTTAAATAAGGGGGAGGGAAAAGGAGTTCCCTGTGGTAACGCTCTCAAAAGCCAACTTAAAATATCTCTGTTTGCAAACAAACAGATTCATGTTTAACAGAAGAGATCAGACTCATGGGTCTGGTATGCTTTCCCTCTTCATACATCTCTGAGCCAAAAATGTAGCTCTTGACAAGATATATATCAAAGATTAAAGGCAAAATCCATGGGGAAAATCTCTGCTCCCATGGTGCATTTATCCGTACTCAGACGTGCTCCCTGTGCATGGATGAGTCTCAGCATGGCCAGTGTCCAGTGCACGATGCTGGGAACTGGTTACTGCACGCAGCTGGGAGGCGAAGCACCATGATGGGAGGTTGCCAGTGACTGCTGACGGAAGGGAAGATGAGGTACTTATAGAAAAATCAGCACAGGCTAATAACCACAGCCCCAAACTCGCAGAAGGTGACCGTGGTCACACCACAAAGAGCTCTGACCCCACTATTCAGCCAGAGTGTACTCTCCTTGTTGGCAGATTGCATACATGGAAATCAGGTATTTGTGCAGACCAGCCCCTGGTTTTCCTCAAGGCGCTTTCCAAATGTCTTGGGTTGGCGTGAAATGCTGATACATCTTTTAAAACTTTGGCCCTTACAGCAAGCAAGGCAAAGATTATCTGGGCTGTTGCTGGCTGTGTGCTGACATGCTTAGGAGAGGCAGGGCCTTTCGAGCTCTCCCACATGAATCACGAGGCTACAAGACCAAGTATAGCAAAACAGTTGACTATCAAACTGTTCATATTCAGCAGAGCTCTGAGCGCATGCTCCGGCCCTCCCGGCAGCAATACCTGGCAGGGTTTGTAGAGAGCGTTACTGCTTTGCAGCTCAGCTCTTTCCCAGAGCTGGGCATCCTCTTCTGTGTCCTCAAAGGTACGTTTTTTAGACTCACTGAAAACAGCTTTTCTGTTAGGGAATGCAATATCCACAGAGCCATTTAAAAGCAATGCCACGTGGAGGAGCACAACTTCAACGTTGCTCTACAGAGGCAGACACGTTGCTTATCGCCTGTTCCCCTGGAGTGAGTTGTGTGCTGACTTGATAAGTTTGGCATGGTCAACAGCAAAGTTCTGGCTATAGCACTGTATCTCCAACTCTGAACTGAATGTTTAATTCTCTTTTATTATGACTCATATCCACAGGCTGTCCCAGAATAAACAACAAATAAGATCAGGGGATCGCTCTCCAAACATGTGAGGCACAGCTTTAAGAGTAGCGTCCTCCTTAGAGCTTAATAGTATCCATTTGTTGGAGGATACAGCTAGGGTGAGCACAGAGAATGCAAAAAACATTGGTAAAGCTTTAGAAATCCAGTGTTTTCCAGAACACAATGCCGAAGCCTCTCCCACACTGATTGACTCACCAGCAGGATTTCACTTATCATTGCCTAAGTCACTAAGTAGGAGGAACAGTGAGACACTTCCAAAAATCACGGAGAAAAAATATTTCTTAAGCTGAAATTTCCTGTTCTTTTAATAGCTGACATTTTGTTTAGAAGTGTACGTTTTTAACAAAAAGTTAGATTCTTGCTTGACACAGTGAAAGCTAATGAACTATTTTGTTTGACAAGAATCTGACTTAAAAAATGCCAGGGAGCTTAGACGCTGCAGAGAGCAGGGGAGGTGAAAGCAGGGCAGCCACGCGTTTTGCTGGATAAGCCACCATTCTCTGCCCAGACATCTTCTTTCTGGGCAGAGAAGCATTTGGCCACGTGTGCAGGATTTTCAGATGGCCCATCACTGGATGGGCAGCAACCCTGAAGGATGAGATGTCTCCAAAACATCTCTACTGCTGGTGCTGGGGGGGTGCAGATGTGGGGCGACGGGAGGAATGCTGGCACATCCAGCCAGTGTTGGATTTGCTGTGCCTGTGCTGCGTGGTGCCTAGTCCCACACTCTGCTCGGGTGCAGCCTATGCTCCCGCTGGCCTGTGTGTCACATCTATGTCCCATTAGATCCGCAGAAGCTCCACGAGGAGCAGCGTGTCGCACTGCAGCCGCCTGGACCAGTTTGAGATCCGGACGCTCCTGATGTGCTACCTCTACATTGTGAAGATGATCTCTGAAGGTTGGTGGGGGCTCACGGGGGAGCAGCCAGAAAGACAAGAGACCATCACCAGCACTTTTGGTCTGTAGGGCCACCTTTTATTTTTTTAAAAACACAGTGCACTGTTTCTTTCTTTTTTTTCAGATACCCTTTTAGCTTATTGGAACAAATTCTCCCCCCAAGAGCTGATCAATGTCCTTGTGCTTCTGGAGTGAGTATCGCGAGGCTGCAGTTCAAACACCGTGCCTTTGTGCACGCAGCATTGGGCAAGGAGAAGACACGAGTGCAGTGGGCTTTGCAGGGTGCTGGTGGTCCTAAAGGTGTCTGGCCAAGAGTGTAATGAAATGCTTTCCCTCTCTCTGATAAGAAAGAGGTGTGTTTTTGGGGGAGCAAGGTGAAGTGGCAGTGCGCTATGCTCGGGCCAGGCTGTGCATGGGGTATCCCCCCACCTGTGGGCGAGCAGGGCTTATGGCACAGCCTCCTGCCATAAACAGCACAACCTCTGCTTTGCAGTGGGTTTGGTGGAACAGGTGCGTGTGGGGACAGGGATGTTCCATAGGGTTTGGAGACGGAGGGTGTGAGCTTTTGTAAATACAGACCCTAAACCGTCATGCATGAGAAGTGTGTCTGCAGACAAGAACAGGGCAGGTTTGAAACGTTTGGATCATTCCTCATCTGCAGGATCTGTAACAGACACGCTTTATTTTCTTTCTAGGGTGTGTTTATTTCACTTCAGATATGTGGGGAAGAGAAATATTGCCAGGTATTGTATCTTCTGGCCGGGGCCGGGTTTGGGGGCCATCCCTGTTCTTACTGCCGCAGCCAAGGCAGGAAAGGGAGCGTGCACAGCTATGCCAGGCAAACACAAGCTGGCAGGAAGCCTGTGTCATCGGGACTCTGCTCAGTGCCATGCCATGAGCAGAGACCCCTCGTCTTAGCACCCTGCCCCTTCCCTCCCCTCCAGCTCCTGCATGAGACCCCCAGGCCCAGGCGCTCCTGGCTGCCCGCGCAAGTTGGCCGTGTCCCCCGCAGTTGGCTGCAGGTGAGACACGAGTTGCATCTCTGCTCCCAGAGCAGCAGAACTGCTGTTTCATTAGCTCTAGGGCCATCTGGTGCAAGTGAGACCAGGGTAGCCTGGTCAGTTCCTCTGGGATTGTCCAGGATAAGGCAGATGTGTGCATTGGAGGAAGTCCAGGTCTCCATCCTGGTCCCTTGTGTAATCTTGTAGTGGTGTGGCCACTGCTGCTCATCCAAACCCGCAGTCTTCACTTCCCCTTGCAGGGTGCATGATGCCTGGTTATCCAAGCACACAGGACCCGATAGAAAATCCCAGACGATGCCAGCACTCCGCAGCAGAGCTGGGGGGATGCAGGTGCGGCTCCAGCATCTGGGCAGCTTGGAGACCTCCTTCACGCTCAACCACAGTATGTACAGCAGAGCGAGATGGGACCATGGAGTATGAGCCTGTTGAAAATTGCATGTAGCCATTTTCTGCTTGCCACTTGCTGCTGCAGGATAAAAACTGCAGAACTGTAGT